TTAAACACAAACATGTTGCAGATACGGGAACATGAAGATGCCGCGTTTGGAACAAAATTGGATTGTAGATCTCAACTGGGATTCGTGATTTTACTCTGTGTTGCCTCCGATTCTTCCCATGTCATTGCGTTTTCTAACAAAAAGTCAAGAACGATTGTACGATGGAGAATGGGAGGAGAAATATTTGCTCTAGCAGACGGGTGGGATCGAGCTTTTATGCTTCAACATGATTTAGAAGCAATTTACTCGAAACGAATTCCCTTGTATGTATTCACCGACACTAAGCAGGTCTTAAATACAATCACGAAGGTATCAAAGACCATAGAAAGGCGATTATTCATCGATATCGCTGCTGCCCGTCAGGCCTACAACCGCCATGAGATCTCAAACATCGGCCTGGTGGCGTCGGAGGACATGATTGCCGATCGTATAACGAAGACTAAATCTAGGTCATCTTTAATGGAACTGCTCAAGTTTGGGAAGAATGTACTCAAGGTGAAGCAATGAATCATCAGAAACTGATGCTTCGCATCACGAACTTATCCTTCTAGTACTGTTTAGATATGTTGCAACGAACTTCCACCTCCTGCTGCAAAAGTTCCGTTTGAAGTATCTTGTTCCACATTTGGAGAAAGTGCTAGTGTGAATCCTGCCGGTGGCATTGCCTGAATGCAACAGTATGACTACATATACACGCAATCCGCGTGTGTGGTGAGAACAAGACACTACATTTTTTAGTATATAAGGCCAGGTGGTTTTCGATTAGCGAGGGTCGGCAGAAGTTTTTACGTACGAACAAAACGGACAGTACCCTTTCGAGTTGTCCGCGACTCGGGTACAGTAGAACACATCCGGAAGTATGAGGCTCCCACATTAAGATGTGGATATTTCTCAAAGACCTAGGAGTTACCAATAGTATTTGGTAGGTACTGTGTGCACCAAACAACTCCGCAAATACGTGGGGTATTCCAGGAATATCCCATATGCTAATAATAGGTCTTTCTTGCAATGACTCGCGAACTACGCAAAGACGAGGTTGTTGAGTCATGTCATATTGACATCAGTAGAGACTGACACGTACACGGCGCAACTGCAAACGGAGCAATCAGCGAGCACAATTGGTAGTCATTTATTTTTATTGCTTCGAATGATTCATTACAGAAAAATCCATAACAGAGCAGACACTGCCTCAAATGTCTGCATCCAGGTCGCGATCCGGGACTCTGGTGTTGTGCATCTGCAATGACATTCTCCTTGCGCGCTTACGCCGATAGCGATCCTGGGACTGTCGCCGACGCTCGACCTGCTGCACACCAATGTGGGTCTGGCGGTTCTTGATACGTTGATAGCGTTCAAGGTCTTCTTGGCGCAGAGGATGCCAATTGATATGGAGGTTAGTTAACCCAGCGCAGAATCGAAAAACAGTGTCGTAGCTTCCTTCCGCCCACTTCCATTTGCTAGACACAACATTCCACAATCCACTCGCCCTACCAAAGTAGTTTTCAATTATTATCCTATCAGGTGAAATTTTCCTATTGAACCGCTCGTCTTCTACAGAAAGACAAGCATTCGGTAGTTTTTTCTTGGGGCTGATCAGGCGAACAATCTCTGCCCCGCCTTGGTACCCCTTATGAGCCAACTGTGCCCACTGCGTGGGATAATCGCCTGCCATCAATCCTAGATATGTCAACTCCCTCTCACTTCTCGCCTTTTTCAAATTCGCCTTATGAAATTGTTGGTTTTCCTTGAATATCTCCAGGTTAGAAACTGACCCTGGGAAATGCTCTGTGCACCCGAGAGCTAGCCCATTTGGGAGTACTGATACCTCAATCTTGTAGCCGTAGAGTTTGTGCTTCCCGGAGAAATATTTCTTCCCCTCCTACATGTTTCCACTAGGTCGATTACACATTTGGAAGGTCACATCGGTAGCATATCGGGCGAAAGAAAAATGCTTGAAAAGGAACTTCTCCTTGATCATTTCTGTCATAGAGTATAGCTCAGCGTTGGTTCGACTAGTGTCTCATACACATGGGGGAAAGCATGTTGACAAAGCGCATAATCAGCCTCTCGAATGTTGGGCTGTTTAAAGAAAATAAATTCGCCATCATATCCCACTGCCCCCCATGCTTCATGGTCGCCAACGTCATGAACAAGACGTCTTTTCCTGAATGCGGCGACTTACGCCCTCGCCCACAGTTGTAGTTTGCGGTGATGAATTCCCTGTAGTTGGTCCATATGATCTGAAACTCAGTCGGATCAAAATTTATCATACTAACGATTGCCCTCCCTCCCCCGCGTTCGTAGAAGCGATCGAAAATTGGGCATTCTGAGTCGTTCTCCTCATCGGTGTCGGAGAGATCAGGTTCAATGGGAAACTGTTCGAGCTCATTTTGCCGCTCAGCGGCAGCATCGGCAAGAATTTGCAGTGCGTTGGTGGCATCAGCAGACGAGAAGTTCTGCATAATTGGGTGGGAGATGAGCTTTGAGGCTTGTGAAAGGAGCAAGGGGAGGTAAGGTGCAGGTGCAGGAAAGGGGGAGATGGAGGGAAAGGGGAATTGGAAGGAAAGGGCAGGTGCAGGAAAGGGGGAGGCTGAGGGAAGGGGGAGGTGTAGGGAAAGGGCAGGTACAAGGAGTGGGGGCAGCGGAGGGAACGTGCAAAGTGGGGGATATGGGATTCATCGCTCTGCAGCATGCAAAGGGGATTTATGTATTGCCGAAAGACTTTAGCATTACGGCAAAGCCTCGGTCAGGTAATGGAGTGAATTTGCGCTGCGCAACGACGTGGATCTCTTGAAGTTACCACGTAACTGTGCTATTGTTGCCCCTTGCTGTAGAACAGCTGTGAATTGCAATATCTTGCTGTAAATGTTTATTGTCCGGAACGTATCCGATTGTGGATCGATTTTATTGATAATGATTGGCTCTTTCAGCTAATCCCCCATATTTACGTGAAAGGCCTAATGAAAGCAAATTTATGAAAGCGATGATGCTTTGCGTATAACAGCATGCTAACACACTATTTACTCTGGGCTTTCAGTAGTTTGATTTGTGCGGAACCTCATATTAACACGTCTACGCCTTTTCTCACGATATTTCGCCTGTACGCGTCTGCGTTTTTCGATTTGAGTTGTACCAATCTTGTACCAACGATTGGTAATCTTATGGTACAGACGTCCGTCATCTGCCCTAAGGAGATTCCACCGAATATGCCAGTTCGTCAGCTCCATGCACAACATGAATATAGAATTATATATTTTCTCTGACCATTTCCATTTTGACCCCACAACGTTCCAAATGCCCGACATCCTCCCAAAATAATTTTCCACCAGCACACGGTCGCTTGAAATATGTCGATTCTCTGCAACTTGTGCTGGTGACAGAACACCATTACGCGGCTTCTTAGTCGGATAGATAGCACGACAAAAAATCCTTAGAACCTTGATAGCCTTTGTCTAATAAAATCCCCCATGTATGTGGAAATTCGTCTTCCATCGGACCATCATCCTCCAGCTCCAATTCATCAGCATGCTTTTCAATTGCTCCTTGTGAAAGTGTCGCATGTCCTGAAAAATGCAAAAATCAGATACAGAACCAGGCTCGTGGGCACTACAGCCAATTGCCATCCCATTTAGCGGAACGGATGCGTCAATTTTGTATCCATACAAGCCATGTTTCTTGCTAAAGTACAGCTTACTCTCGCTCAAGTTCCTGTTTAGGCAATTTGATGGCTGGAATGTCACCTCGGTGACGTAGCGGGCCATCGGATAGTTGCGAAACAAAGCGTTGGTATCGACCATCTTTTTCATACTTCATTTTCTGGCTTGATGGGAAACGTAATGCTCGTATATTGGTCCGGATATTATTGCGACAAACTTTAGAATGATGTGTTCAAATGTTGCCGCCTTCATATCGAACATCTTTCCCATGAAATCCCACTGCGATCCATGCTTCAAGATGGCTAGTGTCATGAACAGCACATCCTTGGCGGTCTTGTCACATTTCCGTCCTCGTCCGACATTATATTCGGACATTATGTGCCCCTTAAACGCCTCCCAAACCCCTTCAAATTGTATTGGGGAGAAGTTAGTCATCTCCCTGATACTTTCTGCCCCGCCCTGATCATAGAAAGTGTCCATGATGGGACACTCAGAACTGTTTTCTTCGTCAGTGTCCTCTTGGAGCGGTTGAGACAGCTGTACCTCGAGTTCATTCTCTCTCTCTACCGCTGCATCTGCGAGTAGAGAGAGGACAGTAGCTGCGTTAGTTGAAGTAAAGGGAGACATGGGGAAGGGCTTTTGATGCGGTGGGTGTACTTTGAAGAAGACCTCTGTTCTTCCGAAGTTACCGTATCGTTTTGGAAAAGGGCGGGGGACTTCCTAAAAGACGGCGCATTTTGGATATTACGGAAAGCGCTCAATTTGACTTCGTAATCTCAATTCACATTGCTTGCAATCCAAAATATTTATAATTTGATAAATGGTTGAGTATGTTGGCAATGACAATGCCAATACCGTATCTGCGCAGGTGCGTACAGTATACAGTTCGTAAATGCGCATGCCCATTCTATTTGCACAAGTGGCCTACTAGGTAAAGTATCTGCCGGCCGTGGGCAGATTTTCTACAGAACCCTGTTCCAAGTGGCGATTTCCACAGCTTCTAAGCCCTATTGTTGGCGTAAATGTCTTGTTCGTGCCTCGCGAGACCATCCTTACGAGACTCATGATGTGCCAACACCGCAGCAACAATCCGCACTCACGACCTCTCTTTCGACGCATGTACGAAATTACTCCAAAATTCACTGTTAGGAGGAAATTTGCCCTAACCAAGCTGTGGGCCCGTGAATGTATAGTTGTCTCGCGATAAATGGTACCCCCTGATAAAAGAAAACTCTTGTCAGTGTTGTTAATTAGACAGAACTTTAACAGATCCCCCACATTTGGAGTACAGTACCCAATTTTATTGAAAACATATCTCGTTCCGCTCTCGAAAGCGAAACCGACCTATTCCATCAATGCAGAGAGGCATTCCATCCCCATGGCCACATAGAACCCGTATAAAAGAAGTCGCACCTGCCGATTGCCCCAAGCCTTGACAAAGCACACCCAAAAATTGCTTCCCCATTCCAATCCACCTCCCTCTATCCCCATACCGCAACGCCATGCGTCGGAATATGATCCTGTTGCAAAAGAAAAATGTTGACGAAAAAGACGGCGAAACATGGAGAAAATGCTTCACAGTGCGGACTCGCCACCTAGGGGATGGAACAAATTGAAGGTTCCCTGCTTTCCCAGCAAGGAACCAATGTCACGACTATATGCGCAGGCAGATGCCATTGGCAACAAGCCCTATCGCCGCGTCTCAAATCAGAAAAGGAACAAAAAAGGAAAAATCATTTCCTTGAAGAGGGGCATTCCGAATGGATTTGTGCGCAACAAGTGCGCAGTGTGAATAGGAACGGCCCGGCATTACTAATGTCTCGGGCAGTATGCGTCTATCGCATTTCTACTCACCGCCTACACCACCTTGCATGCAGACATCACCGAGCTGAAAGACAGGCCGATCCATGAAAACGTCGTCGCAGCACGCGGGCTTGCTCCAACGCGAAATCAAGGGCCTCTGAAGCTTATAGTGAAGTCCCTCGATGAGCTGCAGACAAAGTCGGACAATCCAAAACTGAGACTCAGTGCGTGCGCCTCTGCAGTGGGAGATAGAGAAGTCCTAGAGAAGCGCAAGCAAGATGTGGGCCGCCTTCACAATCGTATTCTACAAGAAAGCGCGGGCATCGATACTCGGGCTACGTGCGCGGCCGTCGAGTCGATCAGACGAGGCACGGGTGATCTGTTCAGTCCGTCAAAAAGAGCCGAACATTAGAGCAAGGCAACCAGTGCGCTAAATTTCGAAATTTTAGAGATTTTCCCCTGTTGGCATGTCAGCTGGTGCGCTAATCGCTTTTTTCGGTTGCTATCTGGAAGCACCTATCTCTATATTCGTTTCTTTCCTGGCGCAGGATAAAAATGGATACAGCACGCGATCACTCAGAATTCATCGATATTTCATAATCACTATAACCAATCATCTTTCGAGTGCTATATGCGCCGTGCTTCGGACTCCTTGTCTTGGCGAAAAACTTGGGAAAAACTAATACTCTGCCCCTTGCGGGCCGTCACATATGGCGACCCACTTGTTGTGTTGCGCACTCTTTATTAGAGCGCTGCATGGCTAAAAATGTGCGCTATAAATTAGCGCACTGGTTGCCTTGCTCTTATGTTGCGTCAATTTGATTCTCGGTGGAGCGATGGATTACCGAACACGCGCGTCGAAAAGTAGCTGTGCCACGGACAGAAAGGAACAAGCAAGTGGGTGCCACAGGGGAACCGACTCGTGATTTCTTGCCAATCCTCTACCCTCCCGGTATGATGTGTGATCTCTCTCTCCACGTCCTACACCCGCACGCTTTCGTCCTCCGATCCAGATACCGCACGTTTTCCGTCCCCACTCATCGCTACGGTAACCACCTAACCCGTTAGTCCAAGTAATGGCTCTCCGATTTGTGCTCCCGTCTCCGCGTCCCACACCCGCACCCTCTGATCCCATGATCTAGATACCACACGTCTTCCGTCCCCACTAACCGCAACGCTCTCTACCGAATTCGTGTGTCCAATTAAGGCCTCTCCGACTTGTGCTCCCCTCTCCACGTCCCATACCTGCATGCTCTTCTCATACGATCCAGATACCACACGTTTTCCGTCCCCACTAATAGCAACACTACGCACTCCATCTGTGTGTTCATGTAGTCGGGAAGACATGTGCCCTACGAGCGATCGCGCATGACAATAAGATTAAGGCCGGAATGATGGAAACGTGGGACGGCTGATTGAAGAACTGTCTGATTGTGGAAGCGCCCGGTGGCAACCAGAAGGCTACAGAAATGCAAGAACAGAGCGAATTTGGAAGGGTGTTAGCGAAGGTACAAGCGTGGTTTTGTAGTCATTTGTGTCTATTCACCATTGATGATTTGTGGGTCGTGAATGATATAGACGCGAATATCCTTCGAAAGTTGTCTGTTCTCGCTGACACTGCGGGGGCAGCGGGAAAAGGAGGAGCAAACTACTGTACTCCACGAAGGATGAGGAGCTGCGTCAGATTGGCAAGCAGGCTACTTTCGAGCCGAGGGAGAAGGTAGGGAAATATGTAGTTGATATGCTTGTGCACGCGAGTGAGGCCAATCAGAAGGAGGTGGATCTTGCGAGATTCAAAGAGGCCACGGGTGAATATTAGAAATGTGTGGGGGTTGCCACTTTCCCTGAACGCGGCGGGAACAAGTGTAAGGTACATGAGAGAAAGATGTGAGGGAGAATTGTCAGAAGCATGGGGGGCGTACCTTTCGAGGACGAAGATGCGTAACAAGATTCGCGGGGAGAGTCCGAAGGACGGATATTTGTCCTTGGATGGGACATTGCATTGGGACATTGCATACGTCACTAGATATGGTGATTTTTCGTTTCGAAGGATGCATCGGAGTCTGCGCGTTATGAAGAATCAAGACCGGATACCCTTGTGTTAGTGTAAGAAGATGGCGGATGTATGCACCGTTGGAGGAGGCTTGCTTGCAATGAGTGAGGGGCGAGACCGAAGTTGCAGTAGCGCACGGGAAGAGTACGTTTTCGAGAACATGTATCGTGTTCTGAAACAGGGTGGATGTGTAGAGGAGCTGAAGAGACTATTTTTGAGTGCGCGATGGGTGAAGACATTTCGGCAATACGAGGAAGCTGTGAAGGCATTGAGTAGAGACTTGAAGTGGGAAAGAGGAAGCGGGAATGTGGGAAGGGGACGGGCAGATGAGGATCCGGTGGATGAAATGGTTTTGATGCGGCGGGCTGCCCTACTGAGTATACAGTTTTGTGGTGAAAACAGTGTCGAGATTAACTTTCAACTATATGGGGGGCGAGTGAAGCGCAAGGCACACGATTCAGTATGTGTTTGCAAGATCCTGGACGCAATCGAGAGATAGGCACCACAGCCATGGGTGCGGCCTGTGAGTTAGTTTGTAGCACGAGCCGATGGAAGGTTGGTGGAGCAGATTATCCTCCCATATTACAGCTGCAGAGAAATTCAAGTCGGCAAGGATCCCAGGGGTGAAGTTTATAGATGTCAGGTGGAGCGGTCCGGGGCGAGAGAAACATTTTCACGCAATCTGCGCAGAAGGAAACGAAAATGGTCCGATTAGAAGGCGAGTTCGAAGCAGAGAGCCAGGGCCCAGGGACCTTGAAGCAAGCAGGCGCAAAAGGAGCCGTCGTTTGAGGCCATATTTCGGATGTGTATTGGGAGTGTAACATACGAAGTGACTGGAGAAAAACCAAACCTGACGACGACAGCTACCTGCGCAACTTTCCGTGAGAGGAAGGGGTATGTTGTTCTCGGATATGAAGACGGGACGTTAAGGCTGTAGAGTACATCGGAGAGGAAAGCATTGAGGTGGTTCCGCAGTCATGGGTCGTGGTAGTTTGCATTGCGATGAGTGAAGACGGAAGACGTGCGGTATCTGGATTGCATGACAAAAGCGTGCCGGTGTGGGGCGTGGAGAGGGGAGCACAAACCGGACAGGCATTGATTACACACAAGAATTCGGTAGAGAGCGATGCGATCAATGAGGACGGAGGACGTATGGTATCTGGATCGTGGGAACAGAGGGTGCGAGTGTGGGACGTGGAGACTGGAGCACAAGTCGAAGAGGCACTACTTGGACAAAGGGGTTGGGTGATTAGCGTCGCAATGAGTAGGGACGGAAGACGTATGGTATCTGGATAGGAGGACGAAAGCGTGCGGGTGTGGGATGTGGAGAGAGGGATCACACTTCATACCGGGAGGGTAGATGGTTGGCAAAAATTCACGAGTCGGTTGCTGAGGGCAGCATACTTCGGCACTGCTTCTCGCACAGCACGAACGTCCTATAAAATTTTAAGCAAGGGAAGAACTGTGCAAAGGCGAGAGGATGGGTCGAAGCTGTGTCGAAAGCTGTCTTGGCCCAGTTAGAGAGTCAAGCAGATAGACGGCGATCACGTGGTCGTGGCTGCAGGGGTGGGTTATCTGCTTGCTATCATGAAGCTACACCAATCACAGTAATTAACATAGAATTAACATACTGTAGTCCACGTTAAATCTGAACGCCACTTTTTTTCTCTGCTACAAGAAGAAACCTGGCCCAGATTAATTTTGAATCCAGGTTAATATATGTTGGAATTGAAAATAGAGAAAATTTCTTACGTGCCCCTTTTATTTTGGAATTTTTGTTGCGTGCCCCTTTTTTATAAGCCCCTTTATAGAAGCCCCTTTCCTTGGGGGCGCTAGAGTGATGAAAAGGTGAAGAGGGCGTCGTCGGAATGAGTTTGATCAAAGGGAGCACGTTCCCTGACAAGCACAGCATCTTGATGGCATCCTTAGCCCTGTGCGCCATCGTGAGCCGATCTCACAAGGTAAAAAAGTCAGACCCTGGGCGCCTGCGTATAAAGTGCCCCTCCCAGCAGTGCTCATACAATGTCAACGCTCAACCAAACCGCAGGGCAAACAACGGCTTGTGGAGAGTGGGAAAACTCAATCTCGCTCGCTCCTGCAACGCAATAAAGGGGAAACGAAAGCGCAAGCCCCTAGCCGTGTGCTAGTGTTTGATAATCTACGCGAGCGGCATGCCAACGTCCCAAAGGCTGCACACTGGAATCATCTGGACACAAAGTGGGCATCGACTGTTTTTCATCATGCAACACTTGAACGCCAGTATGTTGCTGCTGCTGCCCTTGCCTCTCAAGTAAACATTAACGTGGATTTGCAGATTCTGCCTAGTGCCAGACAGATGAGCGCGTGGAGAGTTCCGAGTCAGGCAGGTCGGCCGAAGAAACGGCGGAAACAGGGGGTCGCAGCGCCTCAACGAAAGTCGGGTTGCTCTGCTTGTGGTCAAGTTGGGCACTACGCTACGACTTGCGAAGCCCCAGACACTGTACCTCTACCGGGAAATCGTTCGGGAGTGAGGTGAAGAAAGGGGCACGTAACAAAAATTCCAAAATAAAAGGGGCACGTAAGAAATTTTCTCTTGAAAATAACATGGACCAGGTTATTCAAGAGCCCCCAATTTACGGTGGGTGCATAAATTAAATTGAATATTTAAACATCTATCTTGGACACTATTTCCTTAACGAACTGGTTTTCGGCAACAACATCTTGCAGAACACCCGGGTAGCAGAGCTTTGAATACGCAGAAAGATTAAGAATGCAATGCAGGTTGAGTACATAATTCCCTTTTTAAAGTGGCGTTTTTGGTTTCGAAGTTATTTTACACGCGGTTTTAAGGTGGTTCAAAAAGCGTCTTTTCCAGACATATCAAAAAGCGACCAGGAAGATCATGCACTCTCACAAACTTCTTTCTGTCCCCAAGTCAGAAGTCAAGTATGGTGGCGGGGGTATCTTTTTTTTCTTGTCTAGGAAGCGCAAGTCAAGAATAAAACAGGCCGAATAGTGTCCTCATATGAGGACAACGGTCCGATGGACACTGGGAAGATAGATAGTAGCTATATTCACATGGGCAGAGTCGGGTGCGTAAACGACCTTTTCGTCGTGTTGGTTCGACGGGCGTCGAGCGATGCATGACAAGTAGCAATACGTAGGTGAGAGGGACGATGCCCGGTTTTGCGGACGTAAGGTTTGTGGTTGCCGGTGGGCGAGCCCGCGCTCCCGCTTGCACGAAAAAAAAAAAAAAAAGGGGGGGTCATGATCGGTCAATCGTTGCATAAAATAGGCCTTAGGTCCCCCCCAGGGGCAGGGCATGAAAGACGGGGGCTAGGCGGGGCCACACGTGTGTGGACCACCACGCGTGCAGACGGGCGCGGCAAGGGAAGGAGGGGGCGTTGGTAGAGCGGGAGGTGCGGCGCTGGTGCCGGAGATGGTATTGTTGGAGGCTGTCCTCGGCCCATCCGAGGCGGGGAGCGTAAAAGATGCTGCGCGGAAGAACGGACAGGAAAAAGCGAGGATGATGAGTTTGTGAGAGGAACGATGCGAGAGGCGGTGCAGGGCGGGAGGACCGCGGAGTATGGGGAGAGCAAGTGGACGGACCTGGAAGACAGACCGACGGGCACGAAGCCCGTGCCAGTGCCCGCCACGGCGCCTGCGGCGAAGCCGATGCCGCAGTAGACGCCGACGCCGGCGCCGGCGCCGAGGAGGACGGAGTTGTTGACAGCAACGCCCATGCCGAAGAAGGGGCCGGCGCCGCAGCCAACGCCGTATGCCCAGCCGAGGCCGGAGAAGACAAAGTTGCGTGGGGGGGAAGGTTTAGCGTAGTAGGGCGGCAGGGGAGGGGACGCGGGCGGGGCCGACGGCGGGGAGACGGGGGAGGGAAGCGGGGGTGGCATGGTGGGGAGTTGCCCGGGGGGGGCACCTCATGAACGAGTGAGCTGGGGCGTGGGATCCCCACGAGGGGGCGGAGGGTCGTGCGAGGGGCGGTGAGGTGAGGGGAAGGTGGCGGGAGTGCGGTGACGAACACCGTGAGGGAGGTCGACCGGCGAGGGCATTGGGCTGCAAATTGGCGGCAAACCATCCAGCAGTGTTGAATTCTCTCCACTTTTTTTTACCTTGTACCGTACATCATCAAGCCAGCCCTGACCGTTGCACCGCCATCGGCATCCTTCGCTTACCCTCCCTCGAAACGCAGCGTCTACCTGTACTCGCAACGCGCCCAACGATCAATACAAAAACGCCCCTCTCCTCTCCGCTCAATGACCGCAGGAAAAACGGCTGCTCCTCCCCCCGCCTTTCAGGTGGGCGACTTGGTGTGGGCCCGCGCGGGCGACTTTCCGTGGTGGCCCGGTCGCGTGGTGGCCCGGGATGAGCTGCGGCTGGCGCCGCTGGAGCCGGAGCCGAGGGTGCCTCCAGGACACATGCTGGTGCAGTTCTTCAACGACAATAACCGCTTCGAGGTCATGCATGCGAACGATGTGCAGCACTATCGCAACACGAGGGCCGGGGTGAACGAGGGGTATACTGGAGCTTATGCAAGGTCTTTGCGCGTGGCAGTGGAGGACATGGAGAAGTTTGCGAAGGAGAGAGGATGGAGTATTAAAGGGCCAGTGGGCGATCTCGAGGAGGCGGCGGCCGAGGCCGAGGCCGAGGAAGAAGAGGAGGAAGAGGAGGAGTATCAAGTGCCAGCTGAAGAAGTGGCAGAGGTGAGGGAGGTGAAAGGGGTGGATGTAGAGTTTGTGCTTAGGCAGACGGCGTTACATGAGCAAGGGGTTGGAGTGGAAGAGGGCGACTTTGGCGTCAGGGGTGGTAGAGGCAGTAGTGGAGGCAATAGTGGAGGCGATAGTGGAGGCAGTGGCGGAGGCATTGGCAGAGGCAATGGTAGAGGCAGCGGTGGAGTCAATGGTGCTGGTGATGTGATATATTTGGACGGGAGCCATGCCGGCGAGAGCCGGAGCCGGGGTGAGAAGAAGGAGGAAGGGGAGCGCGGGAGGAATGAGCCTGCGTCGGACAAGTCAAGCACTGAGTCGGAGCCGATCAACGAGGGCAAGGGCACGACGGCAGCGGTGAAGAAGAAGGCGGGGAAGAGGAAGGCGGTGGGGGCGACAGTAGAAGAGAGCGCGGCGAGGGACGGGCGGAAGCGGAAGAAAAAGGTGCCGACGGAATCGGTGCGCGCACCGGGGGCGGGCAAGGCCAAGACGGGGGTCAAGGTGCTGACACCGCGAGGGCGCAAGGCGGCGGTGAAGAAGGACGGCGAGCTGGACGCGCTGCGGCAGAGGGTGGCATCGCTGGAGCGTGACAGGACGAAGGCGGCGGCGGCAGCGACGAAGGAGGCGGCGGCGGCAGCGACGAAGGAGGCGTCGCCGGTGCAACAGACGAAGAAGGCGGCGGCGGCGACGGCGGAGGCGTTGATGCGAAACGGGGTAGAGATGTTGGCGTCTGGCAATGATATGATGAAGACTGCTTCGGAGATGATTAAGAAGGGGCAGGAGTTGATCGTCCAAGGGCGCAGGTTGATGTCCGAGGAAGTGACCGGGACAGCGGTAGGATACTAACATAGTTGTTGAGATACACACATAAAGGAGCATCGCCAAGTAGGAAAGAGAACCCATGAGAACGTTTCTGCGCCAAAAACTGAGAAAATTCCTCCTCACCCGGTCCTCCTTTTCCCCCCCTCCCCCCGCCAACCCAGCTTCACATCCCACCCATCGCCAAACGGTCTTTCTCTGCTATCCCTTCCCCCCCCTACCCACCTCCCCTCCCTTTCCTTGCTATGCCAATCTACCTGGTGAGCGTTTGCGCTCGGCGTCCGCGGGCCGCGCCGACGTCATCCATTACAGCGGGCCTTCAAGCGCGGGGCGGCAGCGGCGACGGCACGGGCGGGCACAAGCGTGGGGCCCGGGATGGGCGGATCCGCGGCGTGGTGGCGACGGCAATACCCGAGCGGGTGCGCGTGTCGGCGAGGCGGGTGTACGTATCGGCCGGGCGAAGAGCGCGGGCGGTGTGGGAGTCGAACTCGGTCAAGTATCTGATCGCAGGAGCGATCGCCGGGATCGTGTCGCGGACGGCGGTGTCGCCGCTGGAGGTGGTGGCGACGGTGAACATGTGCACGACAGGGGCGACGCGGCCGCTGCTCGTGGAGCTGCGCGCGCTGTTCGCGGCGGAGGGGATGCGGGGTTTCTTCAAGGGCAATACGGCGAATTGTTTAAAGGTGGCGCCGACGAAGGGGATCCAGTTCGTGGCGTTCGAGGCGCTCAAGAGGGTTATGTACGGGCTGAGGGATCAGAGGAGAGAAGGGGCTGATGGGCCATTAATGGCGTGGGAGAGGTTTATGGCAGGGGGTTTTGCTGGGATGACGGCGGCGAGCATCTGTTATCCGTTGGACGTGGCCAAGACGTTGTTGACGGCGCATCCGGAGCGGTTTTCCGGGGTGATGCAGACGATGGTGCAAGTGGCGAGGACGGAAGGGGGACGGGGATTGTACAAGGGGCTGAGCCCGACGTTGGTGGCGATGATGCCGTACGCTGGGCTGGATTTTGCGATCTACGAGCAGCTCAAGCTGTTTTACCTCAAGCGGAAGAACAAAGAGGCGAACCTATGGGTACTCCTGTTTATCGGTGCGTTTGCTGGGGCGGTGGCACAGACGGCATGTCATCCATTGGACGTGGTGAGGAAACGGTTGCAGCTGCAAGGGATCGGGGGGAGGCCGGTGCAGTACCGGACGATGGTGGAGGCGGCGGTGGGGATTGTGAAGAAGGAAGGGAAGGGAGCATTGCTTAAAGGACTGCAGCCGATGTACGTGAGCGCGATCCCATCGGCGGGGGTATCGTACGTTGTGTATGAAAGAGTGAAGAGGATGTTGGGGGTGCGGTCGTTTCAATAGAGGGGGAGGCGGGCACTGTTAGAGATGACGCGAAGTGCCTCGGGGGGCCGCGGGGGCAGCGAGGGTTGGATGTTGGATTTACAACGGTGTAATTGGGTGTGCATCAGCGATGCAAGTCGCAAGCGTAGAAACCCCCTTTTGTTCGTAAAAATATCGTGAGACCATCCCCCGCTTCTTCTTGCCTTCCCCCACAACCCGCCACGCTCCTGCCACACTCCCTCTTCCCGCCCGTCTCACTGTTGCGCTTTCCACCCACGTCAACAATCCCATCCAACATTTCTCCGTATGCCCTGTTGTTTCTCTCTCGCTCCAGCAATACCCCTGTCAACTTCCCGCCGCCTAAATACACTCACCATTCCGCTCCGACCACCCTTCCCGCGACGTCGTCGCTCGCAACCCCCTCCAATGGCCTCCGTCTCCTCCGACTCGGTCGCTGACCGCGAGCTCGACCTGGACGCCTTGGTGAACAACTTTCGTCGCAACGTCCCCATCAAGGACCGTCGCTTCCGGCTCACCACCTACAAGGATACCTTTGTCGGCGCAGAGGCTGTCCAATGGCTTGTCACCTCAGGCACCGCCGAGAATAGGGATGACGCCGTCAAGCTCGGCCTCCTTATGCAGGAGGCCGGCTTGATCGAGCACTGCGTCCGCGATCACGACTTTAAGGACGAGGAGCTCTTCTACAAGTTTATTGATGACTCGGAGCGTGGAGGCGTCCCTCAAAAGGCCGCCGGCCAGCTCGTCTCCTGGGCTGACTTCGTCTCTACCCCCATGAACCGCAACTCGCGCGCCCTGCAGCCCCGCGTCCCGGAGGCTAACTTTGACGACTCACACTCGGCCGCCGCCCCCGTCGCTTCAGCTTTTTGGCCCATGGACGACCTCAACGTCAAGTTACTGGACAATGTCCATCCACCCGAATGGATCGATCCAGCCTTTGACGGCGTCTACAACGTCGTTGTCATCGGCGCGGGTGCCGGTGGCCTAGTCACATCAGCAGGCTGCGCTGGTTTTGGCGCAAAGGTCGCCTTGATTGAGGCTAACGTCTTGGGTGGCGATTGCTTGAATGTCGGCTGCGTCCCGTCCAAGTCCCTCATCCATGCCGCCAATCTTGCCCATACCTTGAAAAATAATACTGAATTGGCCGACGCTGGCATCTCCATCGAGGGACGCGTTAACGTCGACTTTGGACAGACCATGCGCCGCCTGCGCAGGGTCCGCGCCGATATTAGTAATACCGACGCCGCCTCTCGGTTTACGCGCAAGCTCGGCGTCGATGTCTACTTTGGCTATGCCAAATTCACCTCTGATTCCACCGTCGTCGTCAACGGTAAGACCCTCAAGTTTCGCAAGGCCGTCATCGCCACAGGAGGTTACCCCTCGCTTCCAGGTATTCCGGGCTTGCAGGAGCTGCATGATGAGAGTGTCGCAAAGGGCGGCAAGACCCCTTCTCCGGCTGTCATGACCAATGAGTCCTTCTTTAATATGACCGAGCTGCCGCAACGGCTTGCCGTAATTGGGAGCGGTGTTATCGGCATGGAGATGGCCCAAGCAATGCAGCGCCTGGGGTCGAGCGTCACTGTGTTTGGGCGTTCGGGCAAGGTCCTGCCAAAGGAGGATGCCGACTTGAGCGAGATCATCAAAAAACAGATGGAAGATGATGGCGTTGATTTTCGTCTCAATGTTTCCAAATATGTCACGGTGGAGCGCTCGGGTGCCGTCTCCGCCGAGGGGTACGAGGAGCTGCTCATGCGGACAGAGGAGGAGGATGGCAAGCCCGTCGAGTATCTGTTTGACGCCATGCTGGTGAGCACAGGGCGCAAGCCCAACGTGAGTAACCTCGACTTGGAAAAGGCTGGCGTCGAGTACGACAGCAAGATCGGACTCAAGGTCACCGATATGCTGCAGACGACCAACCCCAGGATTTATGGCGTTGGCGATTGCTGCAGTGCTTACAAGTTTACCCATGCTGCCGATGCCATGGCGCGCATCGTCATTCGCAACGCTCTCTTTCTAGGCAAGGACAAGATGTCCAACCTGCTGATCCCTTACGCCACATTTACTGCTCCGGAGATTGCACATGTGGGCCTGTACGAGGCGGACATGAAGGAAAAGGGGATTGCGTACAAGACGTTTGAGAAGCATTTTGATGACAACGACCGTGCGATCGCGGACAGTACGACGTTGGGTATGGTGCGGATTCACGTCGAGGCGAAGTCGGACACGATCATTGGGGCGTCGATCGTGGGTGAAGGGGCAGGAAACATGATCAGCGAGCTGACGCTCGCGATGCAGTCTGGGACGGGGCTTGGGGCACTGGCGTCAGTCATCCACCCATACCCGACCACGGCCGAGGTAATTGCTCGGGCGGGCGATGCATACAACAGGACGAGACTGACGAATACCGTTAAGCAACTGCTTCGTGGAATCGTCAAGGTACAACGTTAAACTAGTACTTTCGCTTGCTTTTTCATACTGTATGTACACCGTCCTAGAGTCGGGAACAAAAATGGGTTAGGAAGAACTAAAGGACGCTGTCGTTGTTTCAGAGTGAGGCAACCGTGCTTCTCTCCCACGGCGTATTTGTGCTGGCGCGTAGGTGGCGCAATGCGGAGGAACGACAAGACGGTATTGCGCCGAGACGCGGGGTACGATATGTGTTGTGTGGTGCACTATAAATATATTTTACTGTAAACAAGATACCGACAAGACAAGCTAACGCTCTCGTTCAACATCCCCCACAACTCTAAACAACGCACACTAATTCACTTACGTTTATTTCTTGTTCGATACAGCATCCTTCGCAGCTTCACCAACGCAACACACACTTACACCATGTTGCTCAGCCGCTTCACCAGTCCCGGGACTGCCTTCAAATCATCCAAGCACTTGCATAGAACACCCCGCGCCTTGCTGTCTTTCCTCACAGAATCTTCCTCCTCATCCTGCGCCGTATTCGCCGCTGACAACCGACTGAGAAGCTTAACCAAATTCTTGCTCGCCTGATAATATCCCGGGCCGTCGTCCTTCCGTTGTGGTGTGATCTGGCTCTCCATTTCGTCAGCGAGAGCATGGTGCTTCTTCTCGTCCGCCGTCGCCGCATGCTCCTCGCGCTCTGCGACCCGCTTGATCAGATTCTCAATCGCCGCAATGCATCTGGCGCGTGAGAAATCTTTCACCCGCTTCTCTCGTCGCTGCCGTTTCTGCGCACTATCAACTTCCTCATGGGAACTCGTGCGCTCCGTCGGGCTGTTCTCCATCACCGGTGTGCCTTTCCGACTGCTGCCCCTTGACAAAGATCGATCATCTTCCCCCATACGTCCGCCGCCGCTTAGCCGTCTGCGTACTCCATCCTTGCGCTCGGGCGTCTTTACCTCGTCTGCAGAGTTGCCTGAAGAGCTTCCCTTTTCATCCTTACTCTTGTCCTTTTCAGCAGGGTTTGTGTCTTCGTCTTTCGCCCTAGAAGACATTACAGCACCATCCACGCCCTCAGCTTGCTTCTCATCTGCGCCTCCCCCCTCTTCATCGCTGGCTTTATCTCCAGAATCTTTCTCCTCTTGATCCCCTTCTTCCACACGACGATTGGGAGACGCATGCCCATTTTCTGTTTTCACCTCACCCTCGTCTTCTGCAGCAGCTTCCTCGTTAAGTGCCCCCATCTCGGTCCATTGCAGTATTAGTTCGCGAAACGCCATGGACACTGGTACTGAATACGAGAGCGACTTCGATGCCAGTTTGATCGCCCGTCCGGCAATCCGCGGGTCCTCTTTCAACAATGCCGTGTTAAAGTGAACCATGCGCAGCTTCTGCAGGTGCTCCACAGCCAAGACTTCCAGCTCCTGCCATTTCGCAGATTTCACCTCTTTACCCGCCTGTGACTCGCTAACCGTGATGAAATCGGACACGGCCTTCCACGCGGGGTGGACCGCCGAAACTAAATCTGCTCGTGTCTTAGGACCACCACCGCCCCCATCCTCCATACGATATTGCCACAACTGCAAGCTGTATGAGCGAAGCTGTTTATCCCTTGCGACAAGGACCTTTACCAACTGTTCCTGTGACAGAGACCTGTACGCCAAACCCTCATCTTCGGTTGGATCATCGAGAGGTGCGGAGTTGGCTATGAGCTTTTTATCCGGCGAGTTTTCTTTCTCGTCTTTGGGGTGCTTTTTTAACACCTCGAAGTCATGACCTCTCTTCCCTCTGCGATGGGTCCCTGAAGTCGTGGGTTTGACGTCCTCTTTCTTGTCAACTGCTTCCTTCCCAGGTCTCTTTTCCTCCTTGTCTCTCCTTGTCTCCCAAGATCTTTCTTTCTTAAAGATAGCCCTCTTGTCCTCTTCCCTGTGCTTCGGATCATCGACTTCCTTCGGCCCTTTCTTCGTACTGGCGGCTAGGTTCTCCTCTTTTGCGCTACTGCGATGTCTCTGTCCACGAGAGGCCGAAGGATCGACCTTGCGGTCCCTTCGGAAAGAACCTTCCTCGTCTTCGGAACGGCGTCTGGCTTTTCTTTCGCGGTCCTCCACAGCGGAAGGCATGTCTTCGCCGACTCTGATGACGTCCGAGTGCTTCCTCTTTATCCTGCGTTTATCTAGCTTTTCTTCTCTGACGGGAACTGACAGGCGTTTTTCACTCTTCACATGGTCGGGTGTGGAGGAATCGGGTCGGACGTTTCTCTTCTTCTTCTTCTTGCTTCGGTCGCGGTCGCGTTCGTCCTGTTCATCTAGAAGGTCTTGTGCATGCCTTTTCCGGGACGTCTTTAATTTTCGTTCATCATCACGGGATTCGTCCCTGTCCTTGGCCTTCTGAGAGACGGACTTGTTGTCCTTCTTCTCTTTCCTCTGTTCGCAGTCGCGTCTCGCATCCTCCGAAATCTGGTCATCGGCACGGCGGGTGGGCTTGAGCTTAGGCTTTAGCTTAGCCTTGCCAGGTTTGGAAGAAGGAGCGTGGTCACCTTCAATCTTAAGGTTGTGGTCTCTGCAAAAATCGGTCGCCTCCTGAACCGCGCCTTTGAGTTCCGAGGCATACACCCCCGAGTAATTCCTATTCAAGGCCTTGTAACGCTCCTGAACAAACGGGCGCAGGAATCGTAGAGGCATGGCGGCAAATCTTTTGTTGTCATTGAAAAACTCGACAAGGACTTCATCTTCACCAACGTTGGGTTCAGTGACTCCCTCATCCAGGATGACTTCCTCACGGGTGACGACATGTCCAGGCCACCACTTCACCTATCGCATACGGGCCCAGACGGGATCGCCAAGACCAATCTCATGCTTGGAGAGTGTTGCCGGCATTGTGCGCTAAGGACACACAAAGGCGAATCTGGTAGCGACCTAGGGGAATACCGGTCCGCTCTTTGACGAGTTTAGTAAAAATAGGCCGGGCGAAATTGCTCTGCTGGTAGATAAGGGTTCCAAGAACAGTACACGTAGAGTACTGTAGGCATTGATATTGCTGTGTGTGATCTTACAGTGTAAGTAAGCACATTGTCAAGAATTCAACTAATTTTCCTCTCATCCTTTAATTCCAATCTAAGGGTAGAAACTCCACATAAATTACAAATTCGACATTCGACATTTTTTCCAAATCATTTATTACGGTCCATCTCAGAGCAATGCGAAATCGTTTAAGAAGTCTATATGTAAAACACTTTCTATAAATACTGCCTCAACTGGAACGAAGTGCGCAACTCGCTCTCTAGTATCAATCGGACAGTTATTCCTTATATGAGGACATAAATTCTTTTATTTTTTCTCGACAACCATCTCGCGATTTCACTTCTGTTTTTTGAAACCAGAAGGCCATCATCACAGCTAAAGAATTTGCTTGTCGATTCTACTGAAACAGAACTCGTTTATGCAGATAAAAGAGTTCAAGAAGAAGTCATCTTACAGTAAGCATTTTCTTAAAGCAAATTGTATGCCTGTAGCATAGAAACATTTCCTTGAGGGATTTCTATTCGGTTCTAACCTTCAAAAAAATTAAATCCAGTCAACCTTCCAAAGAGAAATGGAAACTGTGGTCATAAAGGTTGAAAAGAAATAAAATTCATATATGTTCATGTTACAATAGCGCTTGGTCGGATAGATACTACCGTGGTCTCGCAGGCCTTGTGAAATATTCACGAAATGACCCGCCACCAGTGCAACACTACTGCATATGCTCGGCAAAAGCGATCTTCGTACTGAATGACTGGCACAATACACAAAGAATTATTTTTACCGTAAACGCCACTGTCCTACGTATAGAGCAATAATTTTGAAATTCGTTTTGGGAGAGGTGGGAAACCCCAAACGTGCTCCATAATTTGCATGTTGTCATTAAGAGCATCTCCACCGCAGCCCAAAATGTTTGCTATATTGTAAAATGTAGCTATTTGGCCAATTTTTCATCACCACCGCGTCACGATGTTGGCAAATCGTTCGGATAAAATGCCATTTGCGATCTGAGCCGACGCATTTTTCACAGAAAGGCGTCCAGTTTCGTCGCAAATTGTATTTTTCGCCACTTGGCGTGAAAAAAATATCGTGCTGCCACGCAACACGACTGTGAATTATGCTTGAATTTGGCGACCGAAACACCATTCACGCGGGAACTGATGGAGGCATATTGAGAGAGCGCTTTCCGGAACACTACCCGCACTTTGTGATTATCTCTGCTCTACAGCAAAAAGCAGTCTGCGTAAAGGGGGGGTTGTGCAACTGTTGAACAGTTGCATCAAATCTTGAACAAGCAAACTTTCCGCAAAAAACAACATTCTTTTAACTGAATAGCTCATTCTCTTGCTATATGACATCACATTCGAGGTAATGACGTCAGTATCCCTCCAAAACCGGTGGATAACTTCAGAAACAAAACTGACCATCGGTCTTTTGGCGTTTTTTACTTCGAGGGCGCGCTTTTCACAAGTATCATTTGACACAGTTCATAGATATAGGCCCAATACAGAGTAAAGTACTGATAACGACACATTTTGACTTCCCTTCCCTGCTCCTGTTTCATATTACCTGTTTGTCTCGATTTCAGATCGACCCACACCGTTTGAGACACCACACAATGGACACCGCTAGTGCGAAGCAACTGCGTGAAAGGAAGATCAATAGCGCGATGCAAGCCATCAAACATGGCATGCCTTATCGCGAGGCATCGAAACTGTTCCATGTGCCAGTCGGGACCCTTCATTATCGTATGACCACCCCTCTGCAAAAGCCTGGACGGAAAACGGCACTGTCCAGGCCGCAAGAGAATGAAATTGTTGAGATGCTGCTTCGTTTTGCTTGCAGAGGATTGCCGCTGACGCAACACCATTTAAGAGAGGCCGTCTTGTTCGTGGTTTCCCTGCTTTCCCCGGCTGAGAGAGTAACATTGCCTTTCAAACATGGTTCCCCTAGCGACTTCTATCTGAGGGCTTTTCGAAGACGTCATGCTGCGCGGATCAAATTTGGAAGGCCGCTTTCCCAAGAGATCAAACGGTTCGCTGCCGTCAACATGGAGTCTCTCACGACGCATTTTGCCACCGTCGAAAAGCTGGTAAATGAAAACGATATCGACGCAAGTCGAATTTTTAATTTGGACGAGGTTGGCATCTCTCCTAACAAGGATGCCAGCGGCCGCCTGGGTTGTAAAAGGATTTTACCCAGGCGCGGGAATCAAGACTTTGTCTGCCCTTCATTCAGATATGAAGACAGAGTAACGATGATGCCCGTTATAAGTGCAGCCGGTGAAGCGGGGCCCCATTGTTTGTCATAAAAGGAAAGCGCATGGCGTACAAACATGTGCTTCGAAATGGGAGGGTGTACGTCGATAGCCCTGCAAGCCGTCTGCCTCGACGGTCAGTGCTTGCAACACGCATGGAGGGAGGCGGGGTGGACACAAAAAACTTTCTGTCATGGGCATATAGCTTTATCGAATTCACAAAGGACTTGCGAGGTGAAGGGCGGACGGTTATGCTAGTATACGACGGCTACCGCTCTCACTTATCGTTGCAGGTACTGGAAGCGTTCCACAAAAATCGCGTGATTGTCTATGCGCTCCCTTCCCACACTTCAGGAAAAACTCAGCCCCTCGACACAGTGCTGTTTGCAGCATTCAAAGCAGCTCTGAACAATACCGCTCATGACTGTACAGGGTTTGGCAGAGACGGCAGTATAGACATATTTGGTTTATGCAGTATCATACGTGAGAGTTACGACACCGCATTCACTAGGGAGAACATTAAGGCCTCGTTTCGTCGTTCTGGACTTTGGCCTGTCGATGCCAGACGTTTGCTTGGGGAACCGAGACCGGAGAGTGGTAAAAGAGATGCAGCTATTGTGGGAGTCGATGAGCTCACCGAATATTTTGAACACAAGAGAAACTCTATTCAAGCCAAAATTCTAGGCTCCGATGCCGTCGTTTTAGATTGTGGATATGTTGACACGACCAACGGATGTGTAATGACGTCAGCCAGGGTTTTGGAACTCGTGAGAAAAAAGAAAGAACAGGACAGAAAGAAGAGAGAAACGGAAGAACGAGTACGTTTAGGACGTGAGCTTCGAGCCGCTAAACGCCACACTAAGCTACGGAACGAAAGCACGAAATTGCGCGGGGCGCAATGTTTGCGAAGAGCGCACATGGCAGGTTTGACAGTGCAGGACTTTGCAAAGAGCGTCCGCTCCATGAAGGAACGTCGTGCGATTGCGAAAATGAGAGCTCTTTCTAAGAGCAGAGCTCACCGCTAATGACGTGGCATCCGGATAATTCTCAAAAAAGTAAAATTCAGACGGGCCTTTTCTGATTTCTGTTCGATCATTAGGTTCGTTTCTACGGCAAATGAGGGGCTCAGACGATGCCAAAGATGTTGATGTGGAATTTGTTTGGCTGATGGGTTTCGGTTGAGAGTTGGAATGGTTTACAGGCGCTTAACGCGCTATTAAACCATTTTAATTTATTTTCAAATTGAGGGACTTGCAGCGTTTAGACACGCTTCAAAGCGCCACTGTTCAATAATTAGCTTCCCCCCCCCCTTTACCTTGTGCGAGGATCAAACTTCTCACCACTACCGACGTCTCATCGCATTACCCCTTCTTCATATTTCCGTCATGCCGTCAACTACAGTGCAAGGACCGGGTGGGGGCTGGTGTGCAGAGGAACAGGGTCATCTTACCGATGCATTCATTGAATCCCCTGTAGATTTCGTGACTGGAATCGATCAGAACAGTCAGCGGTTCCGGACGCATTTCCACATGAACTTCGTCGCAAAGAACCCTATCATGTACACCTGCCGCACGGTTCCTTGCGTGAAGTGCAGGTTTGTTTTCCATTTCCAAACTAATTAATGCGTTCGCAATGCGTCTAAATTCTAATTAACAATATGTGACTTTTTGGGCATTTGTACATGTTTGATGGGCTTGCTCGGGACTTTCAGAATTTCAAGAAGTGCATCATAGAGAGCGAGGGTTGGAATCCGACTGGCGTCGTCTCAGCCAATATTTTCTGTATGACAGTTGCTTTTCATCTCCGAAAGCTGAATTCCGCCTCCTCCGATAGCTCGGAGAACGACATGTACACTTTTTAAAGCATTCAATATCGCAAAATGGAATTCGCATATTGCCTGCAAAGTTCTGCGCAATTGCAAAGACTTCGACCTGCAAGCGTGCGTCACACGGCCAAGGAGTGGGGGAGCTCCGCAGCACCACGTTTCAGAGCTTTCCAACAGGACTGCCGAAGACAATGAGGCTCTGAGGGATCTTACGCAAGAAGATGTGTCTGTTTCACGAGCTCCCTCATCCCCCCGGGTTCAGGGCGGCGTCTGTGCTGCAAAAGAGTTTGCCGAGACTGCCTTTCCCAATAAACAGCGGGTAGCTCATCTTGGGGAAAATAGTCGCAGGCTGAAACGCAAGAGCGACGCCATGGATGAATCAAAGGCTCTAGAGCTTTTCCGCATGGGTCTTTCCGAGGAGACAGCAGAGGATTTGGCTCAGCGTGATGTGTTCTTGCGAAACCTACGTGCGAAGTATGTGGGGATCGAGGTTACTACGCCTCAGAGTGTCTCGCAATCGGATATCAATCGCAATACTGTGTCGGGTGATGCCTCTCAGTTCTCCTAGGGTAAGGGAGC